ACTTCCTCTTTGGTGATTTACAGCAGTTCACTCTTGTGTGGTAGATGGTTGCATGGGACGTCTCCAGTAAAATATGTTCTCTCAAGAAACACTTTATTGAAGATTTATTCATTTTTGTTGGATGTGAGTGTTTTTTGCCTGCATGTGTGTCTGTGTACTATGTGATCTTGGTGCAGTAGAGGCCAGAAGAGGGCACTGGGTCCCCTGGAACTGAAGCAACAGTTGTGAGCTGCCATGTGGGTGCTGGGAACTGAACACAGGGTCTCTGCAAGAGCAGCAAAGGCTTTTAACCACTGAGCCATCTCTCTAGCCCCAGAGTGATGTTTGAAACCGTCCACTGGCATCCATAATAACCTTGACTGGGGCTCTTCCAATCTACCCAGACTGGAATCATGGGCAAGTGCACAAAAGCCCACGTGGCGGTGCTGGCAGTACTAGGCCCTGAGTGCCCAAGGCCTTGGGTTTGGACCAGCAGAACCAGAGGCTCATAACTCAAGCCAGGAGCCAGCGTCATATTGCTCTAGAAGAGCTTGTGGAATTGAAACTGACACCTGGGTCAGCAGCTGCAGCTGAGGTCTCTAGCTCGTGACCTGTACACGAGGATCTTTGCAAACCTATTCTAGGGATTTTCCTTTCCTTTTCTTTTTTTTTTTTTGGGCGGTGGGGGGAGTTCCGAGACAGGGTTTCTCTGTAGCTTTGGAGACTGTCCTGGACTAACTCTGTAGACCAGGCTGGCCTTGAACTCACAGAGATCCACCTGCCTCTGCCTTTCGAGTGCTGGGATTACAGGCGAGCGCCACCACCGCCCGGCGGGATTTTTCTTTTTAACAACAAAAATAAAGAGGTGCACATCTTTATAAGCATCCTTGGATGGCATCGGGAGGATGACAATTCTGTACAAACTGAAGCTGAGTAAAATTGCGACCACCGTTTCTTCCATGGCTTTCAAGGTAGAGAGTGTTGGGCATAAGAACGTCATCTCTGTTGTATGGGACAGGACAAGATCCAGTCACAGTGGTGCTCTGCTTCCGGAACAACTGAGGTTTGGTTTTCACAGTGGACACATGATAGAAGGCATATGCCAAGGCCTATGGGGAGCTCCTGAAAATGCAGACTGAGGATGATCTCCAAGACGCTGTCATTTGGGGTGATTGCCAACAAACAACATCATAAATATGGTTGGAATCACAGACAATCTGGGGCCACCCTGTCTGTGCTGCAGAAGCTGCTGCATCCAGGCCACCGATGCCATCAGTAGGGACAGGTTCTGTAAAGGACTTGACAGGCTACTCAATAAACTCTAAAACCAGAAGTGAGCCGATCCCCTACTCCTCTTGAGCATCTCACTTCTCTAATGCGGCAAACATGGAACTTCTGTGGTCCTGAGTGCAGCAAGCTGTCTTCACATATGAGTCAAAGTGAGGATGAGTCACTGCACTGTGTTGTACATGTGCAGACACAGCCTGCAGCCTGGTGTAGCAGAGGCTGGCCTTGAACTCAGGATCTTCATACCTCTGCCTCTCAAGAGCTATCTTTTTTGTCTTTCTCTTTTTAAAATATTTGCTTTATGTTTATTTGTGTGTATGTGTGTGTGTGTGTGTGTGTGTGTGTGTGTGTGTGTGTGTGTGTGTATGGATGCCAGCAAAGGCCAGAGAGGGTATCAGCATCTTAGGATCTGGAAATATAGGCAGTGGTAAGACCCCCTTGTGGGTGCTCTGTGACCTGAACTTGGGTCCTCTTTAAAAGCAACAGCAAGGGGCTAGAGAGATGACTCAGTGATTAAGAGCACTGGCTGCTCTTCCAGAGGACCCAGGTTTGATTCCCAGCATCTACATGGCAGCTCACAACTGTCTGTAACTCCAGTCCCAAGGGACCTGATGCCCTCACACAGAACGAATACAAGCAAAACACCAGTGCACATTAAATAGATAAATAAATCTTCAAAAAAAAAAAGCAGCAGCAAATGCTCTTAACTGCTGAATTGTCTTCCTAGTGCCCCCTCTCCTTTTTTTCTGACAGGGTCTCATGTGACTCAAGCTGGCCTCAAACCCACTATGTAACTGAGAATGACTTTGAAGTCCTGACCTCCTTCCTCCATAGCCCAACTGCTGGGGTTACAGACTGTGCCACCAGGCCTTTTTTTTAGTTCGATAAACACTGAGGAAGTTATAGCTGTTAAATTTGTATTGTTAAATTTGAGACTGGGGAAACCAGTCTCAAAACTATTTTGTTTGTCTTACTGCTTTTTGTATTTGAAAACAATCAATTATTTTCTGTACATGTTTTCTTTTTTCTTTTCTTTTTTTTTGTTTTTTTCGAGACAAGATTTCTCTGTGTAGCTTTGCGCCTTTCCTGGAACTCACTCTGTAGACCAGGCTGGCCTTGAACTCACAGAGATCTGCCTCCCGAGTGCTGGGATTAAAGGCGTGTGCCACCACGGCCTGGCCTGTACATGTTTTCAATGTTAATTTTGATAAGCATTGTACTTACAGCAATAGAATAAAGGATCATTGTTTGTTTGTCTGTTTGAGACAGAGTGTCATGTAGCCCAGGCTGGCCTCAAACTGATTGGGTAGCCAGGGATGACAGTTGGAACCCTGATCCTCTTGCCTCTGCTTCCCAAATGCTGGGATAACAGGCATGCACTATCACACCTGGATCAGGATAAAATATCTCAATGAAAAAGGAGATGGAGGTGGAGCCACCAGACACAGCTGCACATGCTCAGGTCGGAGGCCCATTCTCATGGGTTTCACCACCAGTGGCCCTGGCATTGGACGGCCACTGCATTCTTCAGACTCCAGCAGGAAGTGCTGTATGCAGTTTGTGCTAACGGTGGAATATGGTGAACGTCTCTGTTTGCCTGGAGCTTTGGGTGATACTGGTCCATTTTACCTACTGGGGCCTGGGGGCTAGAGACTCAGCAGCTAAGCTCAGCCCTTCTCTGTGAGGCTCCATGCCAGTGTGCTGATTCCCAGTAAAAACCTTGAAAACTAGTGTTTGGAAGTAGCTCACACTCGTAATCCCAGATGTTCAGGAGGCTGGGTTAGGAGGAGTATGAATTTGAGGCTAGCCTGGGCAACTTAGTAAGTCCTATCTGATGTGGGATGTCCTTCTGTATGCTTCAAACATGTGTTGCTTTTATTGGTTGATGAATAAAGCTGCTTTGACCTATGGCAAGACAGAATATAGCTAGGCAGGAAAGCCAAACTGAATACAGGGAGAAAGAAGGGCAGAGTTGGCCATCCAGTCACCCAAGGAGCAAGATGCCAGCAGACAGGTAATGCCATGGCCACGTGGCAAAATATAGATTAATAGAAATGGGTTAATTTAAGTTGTAAGAGCTAGTCAATAATAAGCTTGAGCTATCGGCCAAACATTTATAAATAATATTAAGCTTCTGAGTGATTATTTTATAAGCGGCTGCAGAACTGGGTGGAATGCAGAAAAGTCTCCGGCTACACCTATCTATATTAGTGTCTCCAGAGGAACAGAACTGATAGAATGAAAAAAAAAAATCACCCGTACATATATAGGTACCTGTCTGCCTGTATCTATAGACATATTTTCCAATCTGGCGCTGAAGACCTAGAGGGTCCCTGGACAGCTGCTGGTCTTCAGTCTACATTGGAAACCAGAAGTAGCTGGGTTCTGATGCACAGCAGTGGGGAGCACAGCAGCAGGGGAGCATGGCAGCGGGGAGCACAGCTGCAGAGAGCACAGCAGCGGGGAGCACAGCAGCAGGGGAGCACAGCAGCAGGGGAGCACGGCAGCGGGGAGCACAGCAGCAGGGGAGCACAGCAGCAGGGGAGCACAACAGCGGGGAGCCAACAGCAGGGAGCACGGCTGCAGAGAGTACAGCAGAGGGGAGCACAGAAACGGGGAGCGCAGCAGCGGGGAGCACAGCAGCAGGGGAGCACAGCAGAGGGGAGCACAGCAGAGGGGAGCACAGCAGCGGGGAGCACAGCAATAGGGGAGCACAGCAGCGGGGAGCACTAGCAGCAGGGAGCACAGCAGTAGGGAGCATAGCAGCGGGGAGCACAGCAGCGGGGAACACAGCAGCAGGGGAGCACAGCAGCAGGGGAGCACAGCAGCGGGGAGCACAGCAACAGCAATAAGTGAGCTTCCCAGTGGGAGTGGAGGGAAGGGGACAAAGGTGAAGTCTCCCTCTTTGACCTCCTTTTATCAGCGCTGCGGCTCTACGTTGCCGCTGCCCACACTACTGATGGGCCTTCCCGCTTGAGGAAAATCCCTCACAGGTGTGCCCAGTGGCTTGCCTTTTGATTCCAGATCTAGTCAAGTTGACAAATCCAATAACAAAACATATCAGAAGCCGGGCGGTGGTGGCGCACACCTTTAATCCCAGTACTTGGGAGGCAGAGGCAGGCGGATCTCTGTGAGTTCGAGGCCAGCCTGGTCTACAGAGTGAGTTCCAGGACAGGCTCCAAAGCTACACAGAGAAACCCTGTCTCAAAAAACAAAAAACAAAACAACAACAACAACAACAACAAATCAGAAAACAAACTAAAACACCAAACAAACTAAAAAACCTTGAACCAGAAGTAACACATCCATCCCCTCTGAATTCTCCAAGATTTTTGGACCTGAAGATGGTCCCAGGCACCTCCAAAACAACCAATTTAAAGATTATTTTTAAAAAAGATTTGTTTACTTTCATTGTTAAGTGTATGGGCATGTGCAGTACCTGAGGAGGCCAGAGGAAGGGTTGGTACAGATGGTCGTGAGCAGCCTGGGTCCTCTGAAAGAGCAGCCAGTGCTCTTAACTGTGGAGCCAAACCAGTCCCCAAAACAGCCCATTTAAAAAGGAAATTTTTGCTGCAATCCCAACACTCAGGAGGTGGAGGAAGGATGCTCCATCAGAAGTTCAAGGTCATCCTTAGCTACATAGCAAGTTCAAGGGGAGCCTGGGCAGCATAAGACCCTTCCAAAAAAATTTCCCACACAAACTTCTAAAGTTTCCAAATTTAAATATAACTTACCTGAATTAAACGCAGGTTCTTGGCTTCTGACACAATCCCAGATGTTTTGGTTAAAGTGAGAGCTTTAGAGAACCTGAGAAATTAGAACAGAAAGATCCCTTGAGGGGCTGGAGAGATGGCTCAGAGGTCAACAGCACTTGTTATTGCCGAGGACCGTGGTTTGGGGTCCGTTCCTGCACAGTGGCTTACAATTATGTGTAACACCAGTTCCAGGGGATTCAGTGCAATGTCCCGACCTCCATGCACACCCGGCATGCATGTGGTGTCCATAAATACATGTAGGCAAGACCCTCAATCATGCCGTGGTTGTTTGAATGAGAACTGCCTCCTTAGGCTCATATGTTTGAACACTTGGTTCTCAGTAGGTGGAACTATCTGGGAAGGATTAGGAGGTGTGGCCTTGTAGGAGGAGGTGTGTCACTGGGGTTAGGATGTGAGGTTTCAAAAGCCCAGGCCATTCCCAGTTAATGCCCGCCTCCCTTCACTTCAAGTTTGTTTCAAGATATTAGCTTTTAGACACTGCTTCAGTGCCATGACTGCCTGCTGGCACGCTCCCCACTGTAGCCGGAGAGTTTCTCTCCAGGTCCACCAAGCCCCGCAGTCCTGCAGCCCACTTATAAAATAATCACTCAGACACTTATATTACTTACAAACTGTATGGCCGTGACAGGCTTCTTGTTATCTAGTTCTTCTATCTTAAATTAACCCATTTCTATTAATCTATACCTTGCCTTGTGGCTCATGCCTTACCGGTACTTTACATCCTGCTCCTCATCGCAGTGGCTGGCAGCGTCTCTCTGCCTCAGCCTTCCACTTCCCAGAATTCTCCTCTCTCTTTGTCCCGCCTATACTTCCTGCCTGGCTACTGGCCAATCAGTGTTTTATTTATCAATCAATCATAGCAACATATATTCACAGCATACAGGGCATCCCACAGCACCCCACCATGATGGTCATGAACTCACCCTCTGAGATGTAAGCCCCAATAAACATTTATAAGCTGCCTTGATCATGGTGTCTCTTCACAGCAATAGGAAAGTAACTAAGACACATGTAAAATAAAATAAATAAATCTAAAAAGACCTGTTGAGAGGGTCTGGAATGGATGACTGTGAAGGCACCTTCTGTCCACAGAACCTACAAACCTACACCTCACAAGCATTTGTTGAACACTTAGGTTACGCAGCCACAGTCACACGCTGTGCTGTTCCTGTCGAACACAGGCTGCAAATGCTACAGTGGCCCCAAAGATAACGGAACCAAAATGTGCATTGCTTAGGGGTGGATGCTGCACCCCTAGTGATCTTAAGCACATGTTACTCGTATGTTTGTGATGTTGACAGACCATTGCACAGTTATGAAAATAGAATATGTCCAAAAGAAGAAGAGGAGGAGGAGGAGGAAGAAAGGAAAGAGAGAAAGAAAGGCAGAAGCAGGCAGATCTTTGAGTGTGAGGACAGCCTGGTCTACGAGTAAGTTTCAGGACGGTCAAGGCTGCACAGAGAAACCCTGTCTCAAAAAAGCCAAAAATAAATAAATAGGAAGAAAGAAAGAGAGAAAGAAAGAAACTAGAATATGTATGAGGAGGTAGTTTATATATTACATTGACAAAGCTTCTATGTTGTTCTATTTTGGGGTATTTCTTCAAGCCAGGAACAGTGGTACACACCTGTAGTCTCTGCTCTTTGGAAAGCTAAAGCAGGACAATCACTTGAGACCAGGAGTTCTAAACCAGCCTGGGCAACACAGTGAGACCCTGTTTTAAACACTATTACTTTATAACAAAATAGTGTGCCCCACCACACACATAGCACCCTCACATGTTTTGTGCTTATCGTATGTCTTAATTGCATTCTTAGCACTACAAAAAGTAAAACACAAAACAGAGAGAGGCCAAGTCAAGTGAAGGACTTACACTTGGATCTGCATGAACACACTGCATGATGTTCACACATACTCATGGTGTCACCTAATAAGGCACTTCTCAAATGCATCGCTATTGTGAATACACGGGACTTTGCTTGCCAGGGGTGACTGGAGTCATGTGGGGAAGGTCACTTTGCAGTAAGTTGAGGTGGCCTGGACAGGAGCCAGCAGGGTAGAGGCTGCTGCTAAAGTCCAGAAACAGCTGGCCATGTGGACTTCATGTGTCTAGAAGAGGGAGGGCAAGGGTAGATTCAGGTGAATGTGTAGGAAATGGGGATGTCATGGGGAGTAGATATTATGATATATCCTAGATATTATGGGGAATCTTTTTAATCACCCACTTCCTACCTGAAGCTGTCCCAGGCTACCCAACGTCAAAACTAATGTTGGTGTTCAAAGCTAGGAATATAGACACCAGGCACAGTGATACAGACTGTCATCTCAGCCCTCAGAGACAGAGGCAGGAGGATTGCTGTGAATCCAAGGCCAGCTTGGAACGTATAGTGAAATGCCCAAACAACAAAAACAAGCAAGCCAACAAACCCAGGCCAGCACTGGACTGGCGAGATAGCTCGGTTACTAAGAACACTAGCTGCTGTGGCTGAGTGTGGCTTCACCCACCTTCCATTCCAGCACTTGGGAGGCAGAGGCAAGCTGATCTCTGTGAGTTTAAAGCCAACTGGTCTACATAGTGTGTTCTGGGCCAGCCAGCATTACAGTCACAAGAACAAAGAAAACAAAACACTGTCTTCCAGAGGGCCAGGTTCAATTCCCAGTACCTACAGAGTTGCTCACCATCATCTGCAACTCTAGTCCCAGGGGCCCAGCACTCTCTTCTGGCCTTTTCAGGTACCAGCCATGTACACAGTACACAAACATGTGCAAGCAAACCACAAATTTAAAAAATGATAATAAAAAAATTAAACAAACCTCCATCTGTGACCTCTACTTCCAAGAGGAATCTTTTTTGGTGGCTCCTCTCTTTCCTTCCCCACCTGTTCCACCTGGATTAAAGCCTTTTGTATTTACTGATGCCTGCCTCAATACTTCCCCTGCTGTCTTCTCCCTCAGCCTTCAAGGCTCCTTCTTCCTGTTGTCTATCCGGAGAAGCCTTCTCCACCTATCCAACTGTGGAAAAATTCTCCCCTCATCTCTGTCATAAAATCCACTTTTTATTGGAATGGTTAATCTAGATAGGGTCTCACTATGTAGACCAGGCTGCCTCAAACTCATAAAGATCCACCTGCCTCTGCCTCTCAAGTGTTGATATTAAAGGCGTGCGCCACCGTGCCTGACCCATACAGGGAAACATTTACAACCACAGAGTTAGCTGGACTGTGGGCATTAATGAGGGCAGTGATCTTGTCTGTTGTTTGTTCCTGATCCACATCATCCAGCACACACCCTGGTCCAGAGGAGGAATTAGGTGTCTATTTACCAAAGAAGAAAGAAAGTAGCTGGAGTGTATGTGGACTTGAGATAAGATGTCTACAATGCCACTCAGTCCTGGTTTAGAAGACTTGCTTAGTTGAGTCTGCAGCTCTGCTGAATGTAGGATGGCAGGTTTCCCAAGTCTCCGAAGTCTCAAAGACTGAGGCATGTCGTTCCTGCAGCTGAAGCAGCAGGCTGCAGCATCTTGGGAAGATCTATCTCCAGTGAGTCTCTGATAAGTTGTGGGTTTTCCTCCTCCAAAGAGCAGCAGGCCCCAGCCTCAGGTAGGCAACCTCAACAGGACTCTGACCAGAAGCCAGCACATCTACAGAGTTTCAGAAAAAGGCTCAAGGCAGACTCTAGCTAGATGAGTGTGTGTATGTAAATTAAGGGCAGAATAAGCACCAATCAAGAGAGAGCCATCAAACATGGAGGGATGAGGATGACCCAAGCCTACCCAAAGAGTTCCCAGCTAGGTCCTGGATTCTGTTTCTCTTCCCTCCAAGGCAGTAATACAGAAACAGGTACTCAGTCCTCAGGACACCACAGCCTGCACTGGGAGTCTGCACCAGGGCTGCTGCCGTGATCTTGTCTAGAACCATCCTTCTGTTGCCATGGCTCCTCCTAGACAATCATCATCAGTGGGCTGTCCAAGATCATAGATGTGGGCGGTCAAAAACAGTCTGCTCTTGGCTCCAATTGCAGCTGGCAATTTTTCCACATTGTTTTTTCCTTCATTCCTGGTTTCTGCTTTGATGACAGCTGAGAGTTCCTCCCAGTCCTTATCATCAACCATGTGCCTCAGCAAAGCCATTAAGTCCCCAGACTCTGCCAAATCAGCTACTTTCTTTTTAAATATTTTATTTCATTTCACTTTTTTTTCCCCAAGAGAGGATCTTATTATGTAGCTTTGGTATCCTGGAGCTCATTGTGTAGACCAGGCTGGCCTTGAATTCACAGAGGTCTACCTTTCTCTGCCTCTCAGCTGCTGGGATTAAAGACATGTGCCCCTATGTACAACTAATTTCTTCCTTTTTTCCTTCCTTTTTCCTTTATTTCTTCTTTTTTATTTTTTCTTTCTTCTTTCTTCCTTCCTTCCTTCCTTGCTTTCCCTCAGAGACAGGGTTTCTCTGTGTAGCCTTGGCTGTCCTAGAACTTGCTCTGTAGCCCAGGCTGGCCTCAAACCCACAGATATCTGCCTGCCTTTGCCTCCCAAGTGCTGGGATTAAAGGTGTGCCACCATCACCCACCTCTTTTTTTTTTTCTTAATGATGCATAGGTGTGTGGGTTTATGCACCTGAGTTCAGATGTCCACAGAGGCCAGAAGAAGGCATCAGATCCTCTACAGCTGTAGTTACAGGGGAATGGACATTGCCAGACGAGAAAGAGGCAGGAGCAGGGGAAAATGGTTCCTTCTGAGGAACCAGCTTTGTAACTTTCCTCGATTGTCTTGGGTTCTTTCTGTCAGGAGAGATAAATGGTGTGTTGGGGGAACCATAAGGAGTGTTACATTCTAATAACTGAGTGTGGTGGTGCACACCAGTAATTGTGATACTAACTAGAGATACTGAGTCAAGGGGATCACTGCGAGTTTCAGGCCAACCAAGACTACAGAGAGGCTCTGTTACAAAAACTTAATTAATTTTAAGAAATGAAACGATAGAAAAACAGCCAGTCATGTTTAAAATCCTGTGGCAGGCTGGACCTGTAACCCCA